AGTCATATAATCTTCCAGATGATTCATCTATGTAAAAACAAGCACAAAAGAGAACAGAAAAGAGAAAATGTGAATGACATCCCCAATAACCATCTAATATGTTGTTTTAGCAGTATATTTGTTTTCCTTGCACCTTGTTATTGTACGCTCTTGCTGTTATGTCCACATCAGTCATCATTGCAGCAGTGTTGGCGACCATCACCGTGTACATGATGGCTCCAGACACAATGCTAGTCATGACTATCCACAGCTCAACCTCATCTAAAAACAAAAACATTAAAATATTAAAATAAGTATCAGTTGTGCATTGTGATTGTTGTGGCATAAAATTAACATTTTGCTAAATCAGCTGATCAAAAGTATACTCCTTGCTTGTGGGTGTTTCAGAGGAACCGTATGATATTGCAGTCATGTGAGAGAGGGCCCGAAAGACTCCAAAAGAGTACTTCTCTCCCACTGTGGCATTCTGACAAATTACACAACATAAAGTGTTGACATTAATACTTTATTTTTATACATTAAAACCATAAAACAACTCTAAAATAAATTACACACTCTCTGTAATACACTCTCAGAAAAAAAAGGTACAAAAGTTGTCAACAGGGTGCTAACGTTTGAAAAGGTATACTTTTGTATTTTACTTACCCCTAAAGCGTACATATTGGTACCTTAAAGATACATATTAGTTCCTAAAGTGTACATATTAGTACCTATTTGGTACATATTAGTACATTTTGAAAGGGTACCACACCAGTGACTGCTTTTGTACCTTTTATTCTGATTCTAATCTGGTTAATCGCACTATCACAGAGCAAACTGGCTCAGTTAATAATAATAGCAGTGAAAATGACCTCAGAGGACTTCAGTATTATTATTGCTGTAATATTGTTACAGTGTTCATAGAATAATATACAAGATGTCGGACTAGATCATATCTAGATATATTAAAGATATATTAAAATGTTCATGATTGTATAAAATATTATTAATTTCCATGATATTTCCAGTCAGGCCTTGCAAGTACAGTTTTCAAATTCAGTGATATTTCCATAAATGTGGGAATGTCAATATGCTGCTCAGACACTTACCATTAGATTCTCTCTTCTAACCCAGCAGTCGGAGGGAAACTCCTCAAGCATAGGCACAAAATACTGAATACAACCATTCCAGTGGCACAGCAGGAAAATCATCATAAATAATGACAAGATTCTTAGGAACACCCTCACCACCTCCAAGTTGGCATTTGAAACCTATATGAGCAGAGATTCAATAAAAAAATCAAAAGCATTATTCAAAGAAATAAAAACATTTTCTGAATGATGACTTATAAAACATGATATTCAGTGTTGTCTCATGAAGATAAGGTCAGTTTCACATGTTCAAGCAGTGAATTACTTACTCTCTCCACTTCATTGAAAAACCTAACAAGCCTTGACACACGCAGCAGGCGGACAAGACTGAGGATTCTCACAAACATCAAGATGCGCATCATTTTGCTGGCTTTGGATGAGGGAGAGTCACTGTGGTATTGTAGGTCCTGTCATGACAAGGGCACAAAACACATGTTTTCCATTTGGAGCTATGCAGTTTCAATACAGCCAAAAGATTTTTGCAGAAAAAGGCACATTACCGCAATAAGTAGTATGTAACCAACTGGGAATGCTGCCACCACATCAGGTATAAACCAGCTTTTTAAATATTGTTGTCGAATGCTTTTCAAATCCAGAATGGCTCCCTGTTTAACATGCAGAAAGATTATTGGAGAAGTTTAAGCAATTTGATATTTGTAATGTCTAGGGCTAATCCTTACCTCACTGTCCTCATTAATGATCCCCATGCGAAAGTTAAGCCCCACGTCAATCAGGAACAGAGTGTCCGAGAACACGTTAAAACCCTCCCAACCTACTCCACTGTTCCCATCAAGAAAGGCAATCTCCATTGGAATACCAATTAGATTCAGAAATGTTATGGCCACCATACACATGATGTAATAGCTCCTGCAAAAATAAGGACAAGAGTTGCAAGATGGCATTTTTGCATGACTCGTTTCAAAACTCATTAGTATTTTTTCTATTTTATTTTATTTTATTTTATAACATATTTTATTTTAAGTTTTTATTAAATTTTATTAAATTTGTATTTATTTTTTTATTGTATTCATTATTTTAATTAAAAAAGTATTAAATAAAGTAAAATGAAAAAGATAAAACACTACTAAATAAAAACACCAGGACAGGTTAAATGTACACTACCTTAAACGACTGAAGGGATGGATGACGAACACGCCTTCCTCTTTCTGTCTAATGCACTCCTTCTCCACAGCTACCTCACTGCCGTAGACATACAGCGAGCGTCTGTTCAGCTGCGGCAGCAGTAGGTTTTTCCACCCGCTCCAACAGAAGCGCCTGTGATTCTCAGGTGCGAGACGCTGCATTTCCAGGCCCTGACTAAGCACTGTTATCACCGAAACACCTCTAACATCTCTCACCGTGCCTCTCTGACAACTTTATTTCTGGACTTTCTTTTATGCTGACCATTTCATCCACTTTTCTTCATCGTCTTCACGCTCGCTCTCTTGCTTTCTCTCTCTCATGCGCGCACATGCACACGCGCAGGGTAATTTTCCATCACAGTTCTCTGGCTCGTTCCAGAATGGGGAAGGAGATAAGTTCCAGAATTTCCATTCTTCCCCCTCTGTCAAACTAACTATTGTCTCATCAACTATTCAGTATCTCTGCCTCGCGCTCACATCAGCTCAGCTCATCTGGACTGCGGGGCGGTTCTTTGACACAAGGTGGTTTTGAATATCACAACTATTGTTATCTGAACTAGACAGATGGCTCTGATAGAACCGGACCCAAGGCTGACAATGGGAGGTGATAGAATTACTTACGCTCTTATTGTGCTTAAATGACTGTACTGATATGGCAGAGATCCTTTCTAATGAACACACAAGAGTGCACAGATAATTTTGCTATTTCAGAAAGAGACAGAATACATTTATCTATTTTTACAGGCCTTTCTGATTTTGGAGAAATCAGAGTTTAACTTCAATTTCTTTGCTACGGCTGTGAAACTGGTCTGTGTTTTCGTTGTGGATGTGTTTACATCAAAAACAGACACCTACAGCTTACCACATCACAACGGTGGAGCTCACTAGATCTCCTGTAAACTGAATACAGTATTGTGTTGCATTGGCAGCCTATGTTTATGAGAGTCACTACCGTGTTGAATTTCAAAGTGGTATTCAAGTAATGTAACGGGTCACTGATCATTCTCAGAAGGCAACAAACACCTAAACTGCATTCATTCATTGTAATCTACATATCACATTGCATTCAGTTATCAAGTGGGTGACTGAATTCATTAAAACATGACTAGTCACTGGTTTTATTAACAAGCTTGTCTGTGAAGCTTCTGTCTAGTTAAAATACTAAATGATGCTTCCATGCAACAATTTAATCTGTGAAACTTTAAAATTAAAAACAAGAATGTTATATTAATAATAAAAAGGTACAATTATAAGTATTATTATATTAATAACCAATTGCCAATATACTTAAAACTCATAAATGTATATATATATATATATGTGTGTGTGTGTGTGTGTGTGTGTGTGTGTGTGCAGGGCCGTCCTTAGAGGGGTGCAACCCGCGCTTGCAATGGTTTTCTGATTAATTACACATCTGTTTACTTGCTTGACAAATCATGTGTAATTAATCGGACACAGCACTTTCTGAATTCATGTTTGAGGTACAGTATGGCTGTTTAATTTATGTTGTAGAAAAAATCTCCAAAGTCACCTTTTGTCAACTCATAAATTAAGCACAACATACAAACGAGCAAATATATACTAAAAACCCAGTAGAAACACCTGAGGGAATCCATGCTGAGTTGGCGTTCTGTGTTGACCTACAAATCGACGTCATGACTGAAAAGTTCTATTTTTGCCGCTCATAGCATGCTGAACGTAGCAGAAAATGCAGAGAAAATGCAATATAAACATTTATCAACACAATATTTTGCAATATAAGCTGTTACCCAAGTATGTGTCAGACTTGATGCAAGTTGCACACTCAGTGACAGGCATCAAGACAGCATTGTTTTTGCTACTTTGGGGTTTGGCTTCTGGTAGACTGATTGTCATTTAGACATTTGTTTCCCTCCACATGTAAATTAGATTTTAATGAAAATAAAAAGCTCAAAAAGCTCACTTACAATAACCAATAATAATTTTTACATTTATGTTGATAATCAAAGGAAATACTCAATGTAGTAACCCTGAAATCACTTTATTTTCTGTACAGAGACGTAACTGTTACACATTAGAAGCAAGGTCTGCATGAAAGCTATATGTGCCCACTTGCACTTCTTTCGAAGTTCCGCTTATGTACAGAATGTAAAACAGGTCTTAGGTCTGGTATCTTTTGAGCAGTTCTTGAAAAAACATAAGCCAAGGTAGTTGCTCTGAATAAACAGAGCAACAATCTTAGATGGATTACACCTAGAATTCTCACAAAAAAACTATTATCATCAATATCGAAGTCATCCATGAAGTAAGCTGTATCAGTATGAACATATTTTCTTTTGTAAGCTGCATGAATGAAAAGTAGAGTTATGTGAATTTGCCTGCAAAATCTTGTTTATAATACTCATCTGAAATAAATTGGAAATATGAGACAATATGATTAAACTATTAAATATGTAATTACAATTCTATTAAAATATGTATTAAAATTAATAGACTGAAAAGTTGGCTAATGATAAAATAATATTATGATAATATAAACAATATTAATAAACCTAAACTTTTAAATGACTTTTATTCTGTACAAGACTTTTATTGTGTTTTATTGTTCGGCATGTTGTTATGCCCTGATTTTAGATCGAATCGCGTTTCATTTAACTTTAGCCGTTAAACTGTGTGTGAATGTAAATCATATTTAGTTAATAAATGGCTGTAGCTTAGTTGTTATTTATTTAAATGCATTGACCCGGAAGCTACGCGACACTTCCGCTTTCACGGGGTTGTGCTGTTTGACAGTAGCAGGTTGTGTAAGGAAGGACACACGTGAGCACACCAGTCTCTACATCATATATAGTGAGTACAAGTTTGTTAGAGACATGTTTTTATTTTATTACCTGACAGCACGATTTGAACATTTATTACATCCGATAAGACACAGCATCTTTGACAGCGAGGTGTAACAGCTAGTATTACAACGAAACGTTGAACAGCAGTGGACATGATGTAACTAGTAATATGGTGGCTAGTTTGCTGCACACTGCTGGCTGTTCAAAATATGTCATGTTGGAACGGAAGTTTAGAGCTGATAAATAATATGCCCCCTGCTCGTTTGTTTTTCTCAGACATTGTTTGAAAGTGGAAATGTCGAGCCTGTCAGCAGCCAGTGTGGAGGCTTCCGCATCAGTAGAGGGGGCAGAGCAGAAGAAACCACTGAAACCATGCTGTGCGTGTCCTGAGACCAAAAAAGCACGAGATGCCTGGTGAGGAGACTTTTAGCTATTAGTTAACTTCTGCTTTAAAGAGATATTTTACCTACAAATTCAGTCATTATTTACATAATTATTTCTTGTGTTGTCCCAAACCTGCATTAATTTATTCTTTGTTGCACAAAATAATTTTTGAAGGATTGCACTGCCCAGTATTTTACTTTAAATAAAAAGGAAGTGAGATTTTCAGACTTCCAAAAGGATGCACGTCCCCATAAGTGTAGTCTATATTATTTGTACACTGCTGAACCAGTGCTTGAGTAATATTGTGGCAGGAGCAGTTCTTCACATTTCTCCTTGTGTTCCATCAAGCTGGTTTGGAGCAATATGAGGGTGAATAAATAACATAAATGTTATTTTTGGGTAAACTCTTCCAATACATTTTAGTAAGATGTCATGACACACTGTTGTCTTCATTGTAGCATAATTGAAAAGGGAGAAGAAAGCTGCACAGACCTCATCGAAGCGCACAAGGATTGCATGAGGGCACTTGGCTTTAAGATATAATACCACCATCATTATCATCAGATTGAGTGAATTGTAAGTGTTACGACAATGACCAGTCTCTTACAAAGAATATCCTTGGTGATATTTCTCACATTTATTTTTCCACATCTTGAATTTTGGTAATGCAATTTTCAGATATCTCTGCTCTGCAAATTGAATCGAAAGGAATAGTTCACCACAAAATTGTCATTTTTGCTTCCTAATTTCTTCTACATGACTGACTTTCTTCTGTGGAGTTATTTATAGCAAATAGCCAAGCTGTTCTCTTCCATAAAATAAAAGTGAATGGTGAATTTTGGAGCTTGACAGCCCCTGATCCTCAAGTTTATTGTATGAAACAGAGCAGCTCAGATATTCTGCTAAAATTCTATTGGTAAATAATGCTAGAATTCCATATTTGAACTCCCTTTAAATATATTTAAATATATCCTTTAAGTACAAAAAAAATCTGTATCTTATGTTATGAGGACATTTGTGTTTGTTTAAAGAATCATTTATAATGTTTTTTTAATTGTCTTTTCTTTCTTTTTGTAGTGTGTGACAACCTGTGTGAAATGGAACCTGGTGTGCTCTTTTATTTATACTTTTACACTGTAGGGAAGATTATATGGGGCTGAATTTATTCCTCTGAGGGAAATGTTGTCTGTCTTTTATTTTTCTTTCTTATGTCTTTCTTTTTCTTTTCTTTTCTTTCTTATGTGATTTGTGTACGTTTATGGAGTGTGTGACAACCTGTGTGAAATGGAACCTGGTGTGCTCTTTTATTTATACTTTTACACTGTAGGGAAGATTATATGGGGCTGAATTTATTCCTCTGAGGGAAATGTTGTCTGTCTTTTATTTTTCTTTCTTATGTCTTTCTTTTTCTTTTCTTTCTTATGTGATTTGTGTACGTTTATGGTCAATAAAGATCCTATGCAAGATGTTAAGCCATTCTCTTTTCTTATATCTTCACTTCTTATTTGTACGCAATAAACATAGATTCTTATAACAAGGCTGGCCTTTTCTTTTTACAGCCTATTTTAAATTATTCAGTCTAATCAATATGTATCACATGCTTGATTTGCTTTATCACATATTAAATTATTGATGAAGTGGTGTCTGTTGCTGGACACCATGCAGGCCAAGCAGTTTTATGCAAACAGACTATTCTTCCAAGCTTCTTACTCGGTTGGCTTTCGAATTCCCTGTACCAGCATTTGGCTGGTGACAGCTGCACTTAACTATGCACGCAGGCCTAAAATAGAGCTGCTGCTTCCAGCACACTCTAATCTGAGATCTACTCGCAGAAGTGCTTTTATTCTGTATCCACACCTGGTGTGAACCCACCAAATGCAATTCATAATTTGCATTTTCTCCTAATGATTTCACTAAGTTCACAAGTATAGTTTGTCACTGACACAAACACAAGAACAGATTGCTTATTTAGCTTATTTCGCTATTCCTGCTTCTAATTACCATATAAATATGGGCAATATTGATGTTTAATTAATTAAAAACCAACATATGCAAATGCATAAGTGATATTTTTCATATATTGTGTAAATATTTTTTCTGGTTTATTTCTGTCATTCAAACTGCTTTCATGGTGCTTGACTACAATGAGAGTGTGTGCACAGTACGTGAGTGAGAACATTTCTATTGGCATGCCTTTCTTGCAGGGTACATGTCAGATTGACAACTCTGAATGGTAACTTTAACACTCTCTTATCTATAACAGCTAGATAAGCTGCACGAGATATTATGTTTCAGTTATGTTTCCATCTATATAAGCTGTCATGATCAAGAGGTAAAACAAATGAATCTATTAATCACACCACAAAACCATTTGTCATTCCAATGTAGTTCAGTAGTATTTCATTTGTGCTAAAATACCACAAATCACCTCCTTCACCATATCACTGCACAGCTCCTGCAATGGATTGTTATTTTTGTTGCATAGTTCCCACAATCTAAATTTTGAGATAAAAAACTGCAGTTCCTCATCTATTCTAGCTTTTGTTGAATGGACTTGCTCTCACTAACCTAAAATTGCTCAACAGCACAATTTGGAAAGCCTTTGTCATTAAATTACATCCATTTTCCTTAAACGTTGTTCTATTATTTTACCCAGTGATGAAGCTAAGAAATTAAGAACAACATATTTTACATTTCCAGCTGCACCAAAAGTAAACAAAGTCCATTTTCATCAAGTATATAACCTTCTGGAGAATTTTTAAGACTAGTTTGGTTTCGATCATAACAATTGGTAATTTTGTGATGAACAGATTGAAAAACTGAGCATTTATTTATTTAAACAAATGTACATAACTGGTTTTCCCCCACATTCCCCAAATTTGACAGTTTCTATGAATTAGCAAAATAATATGTGATCTCTGGTGTATTTATAAAAAATGGAACATGTAACTTAACAATTCTATAATTATTATTCTTGGAAATGTCTTTTTTACATAACAGATTCCGGAAAACATCCAAATTTCTATAATCTTATATGAATGGCAATTAATGAATTAGTCTTATAAAATAACAGTTAATTACCATTTGTCCTTAATATGTTGATATTAATGGAGTAACAAAAGCAACAGCCACTCAAGAACATGATGTATTGTAAATATGCTGTCATGCAATGCCATTTAGCATTTTACACATTGACAACATAGCAATAACAATATTCTCATAACTTATGCTTAAATAATAAAAGAAACAGAATCCACTCACTTCTGCACTCCACTGCTACGTAGCAGAATATTAACTACCAACAACTGCTGGGCCAAGTTATGTGAAACTACAAAAAGGAATGGCCAGGGAGGGGGAGGTAAACAGTGTTACATGACCTCCCCTGTTATTTTATCTGTCTCAGATTCTCTAAATATGACCCCCATAGCCTAGGATCCTCCTCCCCTCAAACACCATTAGAAGAGCTGGAATACAAATTGTCTTGTTTGACTGTGAGAAAACGAGTGTTGGTGACATCTGGCAGAGCTTTCAGAGATCTTCACAGACGTCAGTGAAAGCTTCTCTCTGTGTCACTTGTTATCGTAATCACTCTGCCCGGCCATCATTGTGTTATGTTAAGTAGCGAGTCTGCTTTCTGTCTGTGGCTCTTTCTTCCTTGCGTTTCAGTTCCAAACATGGTTATCCTTCTCAGGGTCTCTATCCCCGCCTCTCCCACTCCATGTTTCCAACAGTCCAGTGTAGGACAGGGAACAGAAGCAGAGGCAGTATAGGGCTGATATTGTCAAATTCAAAAGGAAAAGTGGGTGTCAACGGAACTGAATGGAACGGAATTATGAAGCTTCCTTCATTCCAAATATTTTTGGCAGTAAGAGGTACACTGGCTGTTAGAGGCTGAGGGGAACAATCTTTATATATATATATGACATTAGTTTTAGATTTTTAACAAACGTTGGGCTTATGAACCTCTACTTTTTCCAACAAGGTATTTGATGACACTCTTCTTTTTTTTTTTTTTTTTTCCATTGAATTGAATTGAATTGAATTGAAGACAACAGAGCCAAAAACATGAATAGTGGCGACTCTATCTTGATTGACTCTATAATTTACAATCACACACTCTGCAATGGATGGACCAACAGCACCGAAGGTGCCATCTACCATCTGGGTAACACCATTCTTTTTTTGGGCTATATGGGTGGTAGTGGAGCATATGGGGCTCTGTACATCTTCAGCTTTTTGGCTCCCGCTTTCCTCTGTCTGGCACTGTGGGGCTGGTTGACAGTGTGTGGCCTTGATGTCTTCCTCTGGAATTTGCTGCTGATGCTGCAGTGTTTGGCCCAGGTGTGTCATCTGATTTTTCGGCTGATGCAGGACGGTTTAGCTAACGAGGAGCTTTCTGCGCTTTACACAGCGGTCTATCTGCCTCTGGATGTACCTGTGCAGGTGTTCAAGGTGATCACAGCTGCCAGTGAGAGCAAAGTGCTCTCTCTAGCGGCTGAGGAGACGTATGCTGTCGAGGGGAAGACACCCATTGATCAGTTGTCTTTTCTTCTTTCTGGCAGGTGAGAAACAGAATGTTTGGCAGAGTTGTAGACTCTCATATGGTTCTCTGGATTATTGATTGATCTTGAACTGGTACTCTTAACACTATCCTTACTGTAAACACACACTATTATCGCTTATTTTCCTGAAGGTGAACTAATCTCAATGTTTGCAGTAACTTGCAATACCAAGGCTGCATTCTCAGACATTTAATAATGTACATTTAAAGTGAATTTTTATTTCATGCTTCTTGAAAATGGGACAAATGTTTTTCAAATCCATATGAAACCATCATGAATACAAAAAAGTACATTTCTAAGAACTTAGCATGTGCTTCAAACCAGATCTTTTGCTTTTACAGGATTAGAGTGTCCTTAGAAGGTCAGTTTCTCCATTATATCTTCCCTCACCAGTTTCTTGATTCTCCAGAATGGGAGTCTCTAAGACCAACAGAGGAAGGGAACTTCCAGGTACGATAACATACCATTTTTATAATTAGTACCAATGTGATCAAGTACATCATGGCAAAATCTTTTAGTTCGTGCCATTGAGCAAAATTATTCTATGTTCATACAACCATGAAATATTGCATGCCCTTAAACTTCCCATGACCCTTTTGACCACAGGTGACACTAACCGCAGAGACGGACTGCCATTACATCTCTTGGCGCAGACGTCGGCTTTACCTTCTGCTGTCTAAGGATCGTTACATTGCCCGACTTTTCTCAGTCATGCTCGGAAGTGACATTGCTGACAAACTGTACTCGCTCAATGACAAGCTGTTTGCCAAGAGTGGTGTGCGTCTTGATATCCGTCTGCCCAGTCTCTACCATGTCCTTGCCCCCTCGCCACAGGGCAGCGAGGGTGGAAGTGCTAGTTCACCGCCCAGGGGGAGCCAAGGAGATGCTACAGTCGTGACGGGTGATCCAGAACCATCTAACCAGGGCTCAGATGCAAGAAACATCCATCCGGACCAGGGAAAGACCCCTGTGCCCAAATCTCCACACCAGCTCTGGCCCTCAGACACAGAGATGCCCTCTGGTGAGGATTCAACCAGCTTGGTTCTGGAGGACTTTGCTGATATGACAGGCTCTCTAATGGACTATGGGAGTGAGAGAGATTATTTGAATTAAAGGTTGGGGTGTTGACGCTAACACACTGGGACACTTCTTAAATCACAATGTAAGTACACAAGTAAGGATTGACGGGGCTGGTTTGCATGAAAAGGCACAACTGCACTGAACACTGAACTGCACAAACAATGACTGATTAAGAGAATGCAGAGTGATGAATGTGCATGATGAATTGTTTTAGTTTATGCTTCTTTTTGACCTGGATTATATTTATGTCTTTGATGACTTTACGGTCATCTGATAAATTCATATGCAAGGAACGAATGTCAATAGTTAATATAATTATATTGAATCATAATTATTTAGAAAATTATTAATTTATCAATTCAATTTTAGGCTTTGAATAATAATAAAAAATAATAATGATTTTAGCAAATGGCTGCAATATAACAAAGAGTGAAAAATTTAAGGGGGTCTGAATACTTTCCGTACCCACTGTATATAGTATATGGGGTTCTGTAATAACTACACTACTTAAAATTGTTTTAACACAAACAAACACAACACAGTGTCAATGGTATGTCCTCATTTAACACACATGTCCATTCTGGCAGGAGGAAAAGGCTTCCTTGGGTGAGAGATAAGTTTTATTTAGTACATGGTATTGGAGTTATATTCAGTGTTTTTTGACAGAAGTTTCTATGCTTAGGAGAAGGCTGGTTTCATTTTACAACATACACTGAAAGATGAAAGACTGGAAAGGGTTTGGGACATCCAGGGATCCAAACATACCAAGTCTGTTTATCCAGCACTCCTCGCTCTTGAAATACTTGGCTTTGCCAACAAGGGTCAGATTGCACTTTGTAGGGTACAGGATAGCGGGACAGCTGTGGGAGGAGGAGGGTTCCGCTGTCATTTGAGACATGACCTTCACACGCTAGTTTCCAAAGGAATGAGAGATATGGATCATGTCCAGAAACAGCCTGTGCTACAAAAAAACAATGTGAGACCTACACTGATGGATAAAAAACACGCCTCTATATGTGATTATGTTGTGTTGAAATTAGTTATAGGATTTATTGCAGTGTTCTCAATGACATTTTAATGTGTCACCTTTTTCCATACATCTAACAGAGGATGATACTCCAGGAAGACTTCGATTCCAAAGAGGATGTGCCCCACTGGCCCCTACTGACACCCCAAAGCTGTAGGAATGGTTTCAGCAGTATAAAGACCATAACATCTGAACGATTACTCCACTAAATCACCATCCAATCTGTTTCCCCTCATACAAATGAAGACAACATTAACACCAAACAGTAAAAGATTCATTAAATGTCCTTTTGTTTAGGACAGTGACAAGACAAAACAAGAGCAAACCTCCCAAAACAGGTACTGTATTACATATGATTCCACATTGCTGTGATTTCAAAATGCTTTATTTTTTATTTGTACTGGCATGTGCTTAGTAGTTAAATATGTTTGGAATAATTGAGACAGGATGTTTAAGGTAAAAGCAACAAATTAGATTTTCAAAAATAAATTAATTTTAACAGCATTTCAGAGTTATACTATGTAGATAATGAGATTAATCACAAAAGTGTGTGCTTTATAATATAACAGGAAGTTAGTAAATGCTTCAGCAACATCTTCTGTATACTGACCATATTGTGAAAATATTTTCATGGGGCCAATTGTTAAGTGGTGGGTTCAAAATGTAATTCTTAAGATTTCAAAGCAGAGAAGACTTATAAATAATTGTAAATGAACAGATTTGAATTTTTATTATCAAGTATGCTGTATGCGGTTATAAACACTAATCAGAGTGCCAAAATGTTAAAATGTACCTTGAATGTTGCAACAATCCAAACATTTAAATCATTGGAAATGAACCAGTACTTTCAGCACACATATTAACATAAAAGAACTACTGAGTGTTGAATGCCTGACTTGATTCCTCTTGGCTGATATTTCACTATCACTTTCTGGAACAGTGCACAAAAATCATATGGTACATTGTATAAGGGCTAAAAGAAGTCATTTTGTGAAAACACAATAAATATATCTAATAGAGTTTATGCATTTCAGTCCCCTTGTATCCTATTTATGTCTTTGTCGGTGAGCTTTAATGCCTCCCAACCCAAGTTTTAGTGTGTGACCTTTGCTTGAGTTTCACTAATTTAAGACTTTAAAAGCTGGTTAACGTTTAAGCTCTCTTAAGTCGATTTTATGTTTAGTTTTGTTGTTTTTTAAATTTAGCACACCTGTACAAAGTCATGTGACCATTGTACTCCCCGTCCAATATTAATGTTCTTAACACATAATGGATCCAGCCCTCTGCAAATTGAACAGAAATAAAGTATTATTAAATACAGTGTTACATGGGACATGCACTTTTTATGTCCAAATCAAAATATAGTGTAATACATGTAATGAGTGCTCAGAAAGACAAAAAGAGTTTAAAGGCAAATATTAAGGCGGCATTTACCTGGTTTTAGGGACTTCAGAGATGCAGATATACTCAAAATGAATATCTCCTTGTCTGTAGAATCGTGCGCCTGTGTTTTTCAGCTGCACTGAATCAATTTTACACAATTGCTCCGGGTGTGCAGTCAACGTTTTATACACCATTTCATCTGTATTTCTGAAATACATATGTACAAACGTATTCACACACGATTCAAACAGTTAAAGGAGTAAACCTGCAATACAGGAACACAGGCTATAGCTCATTGGTTATGATTTGTTGGAAATATAATACATACAGTTTGAGTTTTAGCTCTGTCTCAGGGTGTCCCATGGAGATCAGGGTGAGCTGAACATCAGCATTCTTGTCTAAAGGGGAAACCTTCAATTCCACTAGGATGTGATGTGCTGAAAAAGAGTAGGAGGGCATGAGAGGGATTATTTGGCTGTATTTTTCATGAACATTTATAAACTGTTACATATAGCAGTACACAAAAAATATTTTTGGGGGGTAACTATACTGTTCAAAAGTTTGTGGTCAAGATTTTTTCATGTGTTTGAAAGAAGTCTCATGCTCACCTGCATTTACTTTATACAGTAAGAAGTAACATTGTGAAATATTATTACAACTTTAAATAACCATTTTCAGCAGCCGTTACTCCAGTCTTCCAAGTCACATCATTCTTCAGAAATCATTCTAATATGCTGATTTGTTGCTCAAGAAACTATTCTTATCATTACCAATATTTAAAACAGTTGTGCTGCTTAATATTTTATTAATTTTTTCAGGATTCGTTCATGCATATAAAGTTAGAAAAAAACAGCATTTATTTGAAATGCAATTTTTGTAATAATGTAATGTAATAAGTCTTTACTATCACTTTTGATCACTTTGATGCATCATTACTAAAAAGCTGTTAATACCTGCAGTATGCACAAAGTATGCACAATATGTATGCACAATATGCACAAAGTCATACACACCACAATAAGGAGCCGTAGCAGTGGTCAGGAGATAGACCTTCTCTTGATTTGGCAGGGGAGTCGCTGTTATCCCACTGTTCTTTAACAAGCCTGAAATACACACACATATAGAAACAGACAGTGAAGGAGCACACTTGGGCATCAAAGGCCTGAAACAATGTTATCCTTTTGTTACATAATCAGCCTCAAGTGATACATTGTCCAGTTGGAGCAAGCCATAATGTATACAAAAGAAATTTAAGCCAGATTAAGCACCTAAATGAACTAGAACATTAAGGTCATAACCATCCAAGATTAGATTAGCATGCAAAACCCCTCAGAATTATTATTCAGTCCTTCAGACTGAGGACCTGTGTGTTAACTGTAACCATCCTCCTTATGAAAAAATCATTCTCTAAAGAGTCAATTAAAAATGTGAAGAAAGGTTTTTTGCATCAATATTACTTTATTAAGAAAATTTCCACTGTATGTCCTGGTTTTAGCAATTAATTTCAAAAGCAAAAGGAATTAAGTTTACTTGTAAATACTTTGGTACAATTAAATAGGAAAACTTTTTCAAATGTTTTACACTATTTGTGTTCATAAACAGAAACACTTTCTAAAAAGATGTTCCTTTCATACTGCTTATTCATCATTACCTATTTGTGGGCATGTGCCACTGAAGGGGCCCTCGCAGGTGATGCATTTTCCTGCCAGGAATTCCTCATAGCTGGAGCAGGGGAAACCAATAAGCGAACAGGAGCTGTTCAGGGCGCTCATGTAGACGTGCAGTGCCCTCATGTGGTCACAAATGACATAACCATACACTGGAAAGTAGATAAAAACTGACAGATTCTCAGCATCAAGCTACGGTACATTTCATTTAGCTTAATGTCTCAGTTAGCGTTTGGTCAGCTTTTGTTGTCCACTTACTTGAAGCAAACTTTGAACGTGCGCAACCGGCTTGGTCCATTCCACCATTTAAGAAGAAGTCCACATGCCCAACAGGAATAGATATACCAAAATCTGGCAAATGTACAGATATTCAGTTCAGTTGTGCACAAATAACCTATACTTCGGTACTGACAATAGCACCAGTGGCACTTATATGAACGCTTGTGGTTAGATAATAAATCAAGATAAATCTGTCAAGAAACGTGTCCTGTTCAATATTAGACTGCTTCTTGAATAAATAAAAATAAATTTAGATCATTTCAGGCAAAGGACTGATTCACTCTTACAGTCAGAGTCAGTGTGAATGGCCTCAACAAATAAAGCATCGGATGAATCCAGACGATCAAATGGATCAGCACTCTTGAACATTGGGCCTGCTGGGTCCAGACCTGAGGGTACAAAACTCAGATATATGTTCTGTATTATACTAAATTATTCAAATTTAAACACTTTTAGGGTTCTACATAAATCTTAAACTCTTCGAATGGTCAAACAAGGTCTTGTTTTCTTGCCAAGGCTGTGCAGCATAACAATTTCTCATTGTTCATTTGGAGTGCTCTTGCAGTCTCTGCTTTTGTCAGAAAGCCTCATTCAGTGTCAGGGCTCACAAAATTTAAAAATCCCTGGTAGCCCTTCGGGCAGGCATTCTTCAGATTTTGGTAGCCCAAAATGAATTTAACTATAGCCTAAATAAAATGGACAATGACTGAACTTCACTGCGGAAAAATCAGCATGATCAAAAACTTTAGTGATTATATTTTTTTCTTCAAATAACAAGTCAAGGGAGTAGGGGTGCAAAGGATCACAAAACTCGCGGCTCGGATCATATTTCAGATTTTGAGTCACAGATCAGATAATTTTTCTGATGAGCAAAAAATGCTTCTTTATTAACATTTATTATTTAAAGAACACTGCTATACCACAGCAAAAACTAGTAGCATACATAGGGATGTAACTATTCAGTCAACTCACGACGCGATACGATTCACGTTACTGATTCTCTTTTGCCTTGTGCTTGAATGGTTTAAAATGCTGCAAATGATGAACTACGATCCGTTTCAACACTACAAGGCGAATCAAGGAAGGAATTTTGTATCACTATTCAAAATAGCCCATCGGCATGGCGGCGATGCATTTTGGTAGGCCGACTGTAGCCCCGGGACGTCGGGCTAGCGATTTTGCAAGACCTGAGTGTAGTGCAGTGTTGGTCTTTGTTCCACTCAAGTGTAGCATTTTCAAAGGTCTTATCACAACAGAATTAACAGCATGTGGCATCATTACATAGCATTATGCAAAATCAGAAGAGACTATTAAAGGGGTCATATGATGCAATTTCAAATTTTCCTTTCTCTTTGATGCGATTTCAATTTTTCCTTTCTCTTTGGAGTGTTACAAGCTTTTGGTGCATAAAGAAGATCTGTAAAGTTGCAAAGACTAAAGTCTCAAATCCAAAGAGATATTCTTTATAAAAGTTAAGGCTTGTCCACGCCCTCCTAAAACGCCTAGTTTAAACACGCCCCCACATGTCTACGTCACTGTGTGGGAAGATTTGCATAACACCGCCCAAATGTTCACGCTAAGAAAGAAGGCGTAGCCTAACTTTTATTCTCGCTGTAGTATTGTTGTTGTCGTGTCGAGACGCTGTGTGTTTCGTTGTGAAAGCAAAACTACTTTGTTTGGCCTTCCAAAAGAGGACAATATCCGC